GGTATTTGATATCCTATTCTAGTTCATTAAAAGAAAGAAACATTTGGGTCCATGCTACTCAACTGATTTCACAACCTCTAATGATTATTCACACCTGCAGTCTGCAACACACTTTCAGAGCACATGCTTTGAAGCCAGGCAGATGTGAGCTGGCATCCTAGATGTACCTCATAGCAGACTCAGAAGCCCTTAGCCTGTGTAAGCCCATGTCCTCCTATGTAAAATAGGGACAATATCCCAAACTAGGGATTGTTGCCTTGACTAAGTCAGAAGGTAGGTAGCACAGAGTACAATAACCAGTAAATGGAAAGGGTAGTCTTTATTAAGAATGATAAAATGGGATGAGAAGTGGAGATGCTGTGCTAGGTGATTCTGGGAGTCCACAGGTGGCCGAGACCCAGTCCACCCTATGTGGACGGAAAATCAAGAAGCCCAGGAACCTTTGCCATCACTATCCTTTCTCCTTCTAGAGGCCACACTAGTGCCCAGTCGGGTGCCAATCCAAGGAAGTCAGGGTTGGACTGCTGCTGGCCCCATCCTCTCAACCCGAGGTCATGCCCAGCATGGGTGTTCTTGTTCCACAGGAACACACACATGAGGGAAAACATTTTTGTCCCGTTGGTCACCTCCAGTGAGAGTGGTAGTTTCCAGGCTAGGCTGGGCATCAGAGGGAACTGAGGATTTGTTAAATATTCAGATTCTGAGACTCACTAGAGTTATTGGTTCAGAATCATCTGGAGCAAGACTTTGGAATCTGTATTTAAAATATAAGCACACATGTTCAATTTCCATCTTTGAGGAATTATGCAGGTTAAGTCATTGCGCTTAAGTGAGGGAAGTAACACAGGCTCCTCGGAGAGTCCTGCCTATTGAGCCGAGGGCATTTGAGTTCATCAAACTGGTATAGTTTAATGCCAAACAAATTATTGCCCATTTGGGGTTAGATTTGGGACCCCTGGGACATCAATCTATGCAGTCATGCATAGATTGTATACTATCTATGCAATACTATCTATGTATACTATCTATGCATATGTATACTACCTATGCTATGGGGAGTGTATACTCCCCAGGTGGTTGAAATATAGCTGGCCAAGGTGGCAGATCAATAGTATAAAGTAGAGCCTTTGGGGCGCCTGGGTGGCTCAGTTGGTTAAGCGACTGCCTTCGGCTCAGGTCATGATCCTGGAGTCCCTGGATCGAGTCCCGCATCGGGCTCCCTGCTCGGCGGGGAGTCTGCTTCTCCCTCTGACCCTCCCAACCCTCCCCCCTCTCATGTGCTCTCTCTCTCAGTCTCTCTCTCTCAAATAAATAAATAAAATCTTTAAAAAAAAAAAAGTAGAGCCTTTGGTGTTACTCCTATTTCATCATAGAAGAGTGTCAAATAAATGGATAAAGAAGATGTGGTATATATATACAATGGAATATTACGCAGCCATCAAAAGGAATGAGATCTTGCCATTTGCAATGATGTGGATGGAACTGGAAGGTGTTATGCTGAGCGAAATAAGTCAATCAGAGAAAGACATGTATCATCTGACCTCACTGATATGAGGAATTCTTAATCTCAGGAAATAAACTGAGGGTTGCTGGAGTGGGGGGTGGGGTGGGAGGGATGGGGTGGCTGGGTGATAGACACTGGGGAGGGTATGTGCTATGGTGAGCACTGTGAATTGTGCAAGACTGTTGAATCACAGATCTGTACCTGTGAAACAAATAATGCAATATATGTTAAGAAAAAAAAAGAAGAAGAAGATAGCAGGAGGGGAAGAATGAAGGGGGGGAAAGCAGAGGGGGAGACGAACCATGAGAGATGATGGACTCTGAAAAACAAACTGAGGGTTCTGGGGGGGGGGGGGTGGGAGGATGGGTTAGCCTGGTGATGGGTATTAGAGAGGGCATGTTCTGCATGGAGCACTGGGTGTTATGCACAAACAATGAATCATGGAACACTACATCAAAAACTAATGATGTAATGTATGGTGATTAACATAATAATAAAAAATTTTTTAAAAAGGAGAAAAAAAAGAAGAGTGTCAAATAAATATTTGCTTTAATAGTGAGAGATCGTCAGTGGATTATATGAATCCATGACTTAATGTTACTTATAGGAAAACACATCATACCATAGGACACAAGCAAACGTGAGTTGAAAGATCACAGGATTTGGAGAGTTTAAGTCCCTCCAAGTCAGAAATAGTAAGGAATACATAGAATCAAGTCAGACATTTAAGAGAAAACTTCAATGGGTTGCATAAATTTCAGCCATTTACAAGAGGTATTGTCATTGAGAATGAGTATAATATACTGTTCTGGGATTGAGTGCCCATAAATCAGTTTCCCTAGAAACTATCAACTGGTCTGTTTTGGAACCTTATCCTCTCCCTTTTTATTTTTATATACACCAAAGGGCATATTTATTTTTCACTAGCATGCACCAATTACACTGAAATGTTTATACACTAAGGCTTTAAAAATACTGATAATTTACATCACTTTTATACCAGCATTAATTTAAATAACACTAATTTGAAACATTTAAATACTGTTGTATCAAAGATAAGTATTCTCTTTGATTTCAGTAGGAGGGTCTGTTGTGTGTGGAGAGGAGGAATAAAACTAAAAATTAATGTGATTTCCAATGCTGTGTTACAACCAGCTACCCCCACAGAATAGTGTCACATCACTTAATAGCACTGGCCAAAATTGTACTTTGTTTCTCAAGCACATGGCTTGCAAGTTTTTAAAGACAATTCCATCCAGACCATTTTCCAGGAATAATTCCTTTAGTACATATCCATTCTTTAGTACATGTCCATTGCCAACATGTACTCTTTGCTGATTGGGCAACTACCTAAACAAATCCATCTTTCAGAGACCTGGCAGAGGATGTCTTCAGAGGGCAATGACTTAACTTGCATAATTCCTCAAAGATCTGCCTCTGAGATGGAAATCTGAACTTATAATTCAATCCTACATGTAACTTGTTTTCTTTTTTATGGAACACTGGGAAGCATACGGCCATAATCTTCATGACTGAAGCCATCCATATTTGATGTGTGGACTAGCGATTCATCAACTATTGAGTAATAACAGGGTCTGGGTTTCTCTAATAATGGGAGTAGAGATGTTATAATTTACACTTCCCATTTCTTTCCCCTCATGATCGACGCTTGAATTTCAATTCTAACTCCTTTATTAGTTTAATCCTGAAGAATATGCCAAAAGAACTCAGCAACACTGCAAATTCTTCGAAGTGCCCCTCCACTTACAGTGATTTTATGGACTTCATCTCTGTGTCATGTGAAAATTAATCCTTTTCCATCTGTATACCCTGACTATGTTTTGGGATCCCCTTACCGTCCCAAATATCCTGAATTCAAGGTATCTAAACTCATGCAGCAGTTGTCCAGGGAAAAGAGAGGCAACAGCCCCGCCCCCAACCCTTGGGAGCAGAAAGGAAAAGAATTATCCTAAAGAATTATTTTAAAACCCCGTTGCAGCAGACAGAAATAAAACCATGACTGCATAGACTGATGTCCCAGGGGTCCAAAATCTAACCCCAAATGGGCAATAATTTGTTTGGCATTAAACTATACCAGTTTGATGAACTCAAATGCCCTCGGCTCAATAGGCAGGACTCTCCGAGGAGCCTGTGTTACTTCCCTCACTTAAGCGCAGATTTGTAATAAAAATCTTAGTGCCAGTGGCATGGTTTTTGGACATATAAGAAGCTAACCACTTGGAGAATCCTATTTGAGAGGTCAGAAAACTCCACAGTTAAAGATCGGTTTATAATTTACGAAGAAAATAGAAAGTTTTGTTTCTCTGAGTTGAAATTTGAAGAGCACGGCGGGAAATATTGCAAGTTTTTGGCATAAAGCTTTGTGCTTTCTTCATAATTTGAGACCAGCCTGAAGCCTGAGGCTTCAGGGATCATTTTCTGAGAAAAACCGGGCGACTCGATGTAGAGAATTTTGATATTTTTGGCATTTTTTGAGGTGTAACAAACACAACTCGGGATCCGAGAGGACACTCTGCGGCTGCCAGCGAGGCGGGCTGGACAGCGCACCAATCACGGCGCAGCTCCGCCCTATATAAACGGGAGGGCGCAGCGGCGCGGCCCGAGTCCCGGCCAGTGCCTCTGCTTCCGGCTCGAATTGCTCTCCCCGCGCCCGCCTTCAACATGTCTGAGACTGCGCCCGCCGCGCCCGCAGCTCCGGCCCCTGCCGAGAAGACGCCCGTGAAAAAGAAGGCCCGCAAGTCGGCAGGTGCCGCCAAGCGCAAGGCGTCCGGGCCCCCGGTGTCCGAGCTCATCACCAAGGCCGTCGCCGCCTCCAAGGAGCGCAGCGGCGTGTCCCTGGCCGCGCTCAAGAAGGCGCTCGCGGCCGCCGGCTACGACGTGGAGAAGAACAACAGCCGCATCAAGCTGGGCCTCAAGAGCCTGGTGAGCAAGGGCACCCTGGTGCAGACCAAGGGCACCGGCGCCTCGGGCTCCTTCAAGCTCAACAAGAAGGCGGCCTCCGGGGAAGCCAAGCCCAAAGCCAAGAAGGCGGGCGCGGCCAAGCCCAAGAGGGCCTCCGGGGCGGCCAAGAAACCCAAGAAGGCCGCGGGGGCGAGCACCCCCAAGAAGAGCGCCAAGAAGACCCCAAAGAAGGCGAAGAAGCCTGCCGCGGCTGCAGGAGCCAAAAAGGCTAAGAGCCCGAAAAAAGCGAAAGCAGCCAAGCCCAAGAAGGCGCCCAAGAGCCCTGCGAAGGCCAAAGCGGTGAAACCTAAGGCGGCTAAGCCAAAGACCGCTAAGCCCAAGGCAGCCAAGCCAAAGAAGGCGGCAGCTAAGAAGAAATAAGTTTCTTTGGCCAACTGCTTAGAAGCTTAACACAACCCAAAGGCTCTTTTCAGAGCCACCCCAGACCTCAGGAAAAGAGCTGTTGCACACTGTGTTCGTAGGGGGCGTGGCGGGAGGGAGGGCGCACCGCGGAGGGGCGGTACCTCCAGCCCCGGAGGTGGTTCTCGCGGCAAAGCCAGTTGCTTACCCTCGATCCTCAAGGAACTTTACAGTGTAGGTGTTTTCAGGTCCAGGGAACATGGCTGATGTCGCTATACGAACACCAGTGCGCCCAATGCTATTTCCCACCTATCTCTCCGCTTCATGGAAGTGAGTTCGCCCAGTGCGAGGAGGGTAAACAAATTAGGGAGCACAATTCTCGCAGGCACTTTTTTTTTCAGGAGGTAAAGATGTCGAGCAGCCCAGCACATTGCAGAGCTCCTGCTTGTGAGGCGAATGTTTATGTCAATGATTTCATTATCAGCCCGAGAACTCTACCTTCTAGGACCTCAGCAGGACCACCAGGTGTCCCGTGGTGCAGGGCTCAGAGTCAACACGGGAAGCCGTACTAGCCAGCAGGGAGCTGTCTACACCAAAAAACCCGAAAGCTAACCTCACAAAAGTTTCATTGGTTCTCGGGGAAATATCCAGCGCAATTCCTTTAGAGGCTTATTTATACTAGGTTTGGGCAGACTACTCTAGGCCTTCTGATTGGGTCGAAGCACAGTAACGAAGCAGCCAATGAAAAGCCAGGTCTGCATGTATCTTTTACATTTGCATTTGTGACGACACACTAAAATTAATCCAATCAGGAACGAAATCTTGCTAACCTCATTTGAATACCGCATCTATAAATAAACGGGGCTTTGGCGCTCCCGATTATTTTCCCAGGTCTTAGTTATAGTGTTCTAACTTAACGCTAGGATGCCTGAGCCCACGAAGTCGGCTCCGGCCCCGAAGAAGGGCTCCAAGAAGGCGGTGACCAAGGCGCAGAAGAAGGACGGCAAGAAGCGCAAGCGCAGCCGCAAGGAGAGCTACTCGGTGTACGTGTACAAGGTGCTGAAGCAGGTGCACCCCGACACGGGCATCTCGTCCAAGGCCATGGGCATCATGAACTCGTTCGTCAACGACATCTTCGAGCGCATCGCGGGCGAGGCGTCCCGCCTGGCGCATTACAACAAGCGCTCGACCATCACGTCGCGGGAGATCCAGACGGCCGTACGCCTGCTGCTGCCCGGGGAGCTGGCCAAGCACGCCGTGTCCGAGGGCACCAAGGCCGTCACCAAGTACACCAGCTCCAAGTAAAGTTGACAAGTAAGCCTCTTGTGATCCCAACCCCAAAGGCTCTTTTCAGAGCCACGCATGCTTTCGGTAAATGAGCTGTAATCCTCTCATTCTGAGAGCTATTCTCGGATGTCTCCTAAATTTAAATTAGCTAGGACTTTAATTTCCAGTTAGGGCTTCGTAGCAAGTATGTGCACGTTTCCCGGTCAATTACAATACCCACTATAAATTGAGCGCTCATGATGAACAAAAAAGGTTCTATAGAACCATTAATCCTTTAGTTTCACAAAACTAAACATCAGTTTCAAATGAAAATGCCATTTCAAGGGTAGAGCTCTCGTTTCCGCGTGCGGGGCTCCAAATTCATCGTGACGTTCAAGGACTTGGTAAGGACCTCTTACCGGGTGCACAAAGAGCAGGCTCTGAAAACTGTTCTGCTCAGAGCTTTGCTCTTTCTTTTTAGCATATAGATCTGTAATACTGAAAAAAGCGGAAGACAATATGAGCTTTCACAGAAATCTTACATAGGCTTTCCTGGTTTGCTACCTTTCCAATTGCTGCCCTTTCAGCTGGGGGGGCCAGGGGGCGCGGGTGGGAGGAGCACGGTGGGGGGCAGTCTGTGTTGTATGTGCTGTGTCCTAAAGGCACAGAGGGACAGGAAAGGGAGCCTGTCCTGTCTTAGAGAGGCCTTCATCCTGTCAGCTATTATACCTTCTCTCCTAGGAAGCTCTTTTCCATTTACACTCTTCTTCCGGCAGCATTTAGCTGCAAGGCCCTCTGGGTCACAAGAGAGAAGCCCACTACTCAATCCCGTAAGGTGTCTGACTGACTAGGCGAGAGTTACCCCAGGACTGAGGCCCCCTTCTCAGTACCAGGACTCTTTCCCCATGTCCCCAGGAGGCAAGGACTGAAAGGAGGGAGAAAGGGAAAGGAAGCCCTTCCTGGCAGGATGTGGCTTCTGCTATACATGAGAAACTTTCCTGGTGTAGCTGACAACCTGACCTGTTACATCCTCACAGTAGGATGAACTAGAAATGAACACACATGCGCACCCACCCCTACCCACACTCACCATAGAGGATTGCAACAAGAGTGCCCTGAGCCTCAGTGCTGAGCGAGGTAGATTCTGCCATGGAGAATTTGGGCTACAACTCACTTGTTTCTGCCATTAATATCACAGGGATTCAGAATACACCCAGGCTGAGAATTAATGTAGGGATATCGCAAGCTGGTGCCTCTGAGCACCTGGTAAATGCAAAGACACATCCTTTGTGGAAGAATAAGCTTCATTTTTAGGTCTCAACAAATCCCCACAAATAAGATATCAAAGAAAACGAATGAGCAGCTTCGCGACCAAAATGAACACACAATTCAACAAGACACTATGACCAAGAATAAGAGAAGCACACGATGGAAACAAAAAGAGTACAAAGAAAATTAACAGATATAGATTTCAGATTGCTAACTTTAATATAATTAAAAAGAAAAAAAAGGACTATTTGAAATATGCTGAGGGACTAAACACAATTTTCCAAAAAGATTTAAGAGAACCAAATACAAATTCTAGAAATGAATCTATATATATACAATTAATTATAAGAAAATTAAAATTAAAGGCTTGCTGGATAGGCCAAATAGTTAATTGACCCCAGATGAAGAATTTACATGAACTCTGTAAGCAGAATTTATCCAAAATGCAGGGAGAGAAATGTAAAAGTGAATTTAAGAGATCTGGAATTAGTAGTAAGTGTGTCTGCCATACATCTAATCATGGTACCAAAAAGACAACCAGAGAGAATGGTGCAGGTGTGAGCTTTCAAAGATCATGGCTGAGAATTTTTTAGAGTTGATGGAGTACTCATGTAATTAAAAATAAATAAAACAGAGTGAAACTCATACAACAAAAGGGGGGTCACTCTGTCACACTGTGAACTAATCCCCGTAAATTCTCACAAATGTAAGGCTGATTTTCACAAGGTTCTGCTTTCTAATCTGTTCTGACAGATGGCATCAGACTGAAGCACTTATAAATTCTTGGGGCGAGGGAGGACAATTGAGAAATTGATTATTTACATGCACTTTATATCTATCTGATTACTAAACTATGTCATATGTCAATTTAATCAATAGTTAATGGACTGTTGACTGGCTTTTTCAGTCCATTAAATCAAAAAGTTTGATATTCTTTCCAATATCTATTTCTGTTAATTACTTCCATCATGTTATTGTGTTAGCTGAAATCACAAACTGTTTGCCATGTTAGCTCTGCTAGCAGGCATCACGGTCTTTTTCTTCCTTCTCATTGAAGTGGCTTTGGTTGTTCATGCCTCATGAAAAACTTGTTTGCCTGCGTACACATGTGTCTGAGTGTTTAATCTGTTTGCGTGGGTTTCCTTCTAAATATATTAGTTTCCTTCTAAATATATTTTAAGAGTTTTTATTAGGAATGATACGTGAATTTTTGGCATTTGATGGAATCATGTGCTTTTCCTCCTTTATGTGGCTGCAATAAAGTGTAGGTAGATTTCCTAATGTTACTCCATACTTGCATTCCCAGGCCAAATCTTATTTGGTCATGTTGTATTATTATCCTAAATACTGGCTGCACACATTTTAATATGTCAGAGGGATTTTTCCTCCTCTATTCATACATAAAATCATTCTGTGATTTTTTCTTTGGGGTTCATCCATATAGATGGTGTCATTAAGATTATGGTAACTTCAAAAATCTTAACTATGGCCTCTCCTCTATTATCTACTGCTATGTAACAAACTACCTAAAAACTCGGCAGCTTAAATCAACAAACATTTGTTATCTCATTTTGTTTCTGGGTTGTCAGGAATCCAGAAGTGACTTGCGGGGAGGTTCTGGCCACGGTCTCTCAGGTTGAAGTCAAGATGTAAACATGGGCTGCAGTCACCTGAAGGCTTGACTGTGACTGGAGGGTTCCCTTCCAAAGTTGGCTCACTCCCATGCTACCCACGTTCCTGTCGGCTCTTGGCAGGAGGACCTTAGTAGGACCTCCATGCCTTGCCACATAGACCTCTCAGGAGGGCTAACTGACTCTCTCCCACAAAGACAAATCATAGAGAGAGTGGGGGAGGAATTAGCCACAAAGTCTCTGAGACCTAGTTTCAAATGTCACATGCTGTCACTTCTGCCACTTTCTATTAATTAGAAGCAAGTCACTTAAATGTGGCATATATTCAGAAGGGTAACAAGGCTCCATCCTTCAAGGTAAGGATAGTACATTTGTGAACATATTGCAAAATCACCATATCATCTTTTTTATGCTTTAAATACTTGATTGTAGAAAGTATTTGTGCTTTAAAGAGTAGACAGAAATCAGCTGTATAATCACCTGGACCTAATACTTTTATACGTGGTAGCTTGTTCAGAATTCCAGGAAATTTGTCTACATTGATCACTATCCACAGAGACGAAAACCAATAAAACTCCCACATGATGTCCTGATGGACTTTTCCCTGAGATTGTAAGGAACCAAACAGTGGTCTCTGCAGTTACATAAAACCAGCACATTGCAGGTACTTATAGAAAATACTGAATGAATCGAATCAATTCATCCAAGAGCTCCTAACCAGCCACCTGTACAGTGAATCTCTGGTTCATGATGGTTGTAGGAATGTCCCACAAAATGGGTAGGTATGAAAAAAAAAAAACTAAAAGTGAAAAAAAATACAATAAAAAGGAAAAACCCCAGAAAATACTTTGGCTTATGAAAATATAAGAAATTAACAATATGGAAAAATACAAATTAATAAAATTTGCAATTGGACAAGAAGTTAAAGCTAAATTAATAGATTTCAAAGGTAGAATTTGAATTGATGATTGAGTCAGACTTAAAAATAAGCCACCATGTTTAAAGTGAAAGGTAACAGATTAAGTGGTAGCAAAAGGGCATAAAAGAAGAAATTAAAGAGCATAATTTAGTCATGATGGCTTATAAGAAGATCCTTGACATGTGTCAAAATTCCTTGCTCAATTGTACCATGGCAATAGTTCAGAATATTTCTTATAAATCAATGAATCAAGAGGTAGTCATTGAATATCTTTGGGCCAGACACAGGCATGGGCATTAGAGATACAAAGAGAGATGAGGTTGTTCTTGACCTTCTGGAGCCCTTAGGTTTGTAGACCATAAAGGAAACTCACAGCTAATTGCCTGCTTTTTTTTTTTTTTTAAATAATCATTCACTAAGACCTAAAAAAATGTTTATCACTCTTTGGAAATCTGCTGGCAGATGAATAGACTTGGGCTCATCTGGGAACTACAAAATTAATTAAGTTAGGCAAAATATTCATCCAAATATGTGACTAATAAACAGAATACAGTAATACTAATACCATTGTGACATGGTGCAAAGTTAAGGAACAGTCCCATTAGACTGCCCTCATGTCTGACATCAACTGCAAAGTTGATGGGTCTCCAAAACCATCCTCAAATTTGGTAATTCTTTAGATGACTCACAGAATTCACTAAAAACTCACTATACCCAAGGTTGTGGTTTACTATATAAAAAAGATAGATTAAAAATAAGCCAAGGTAAGAGGCACATGAGCAGAGTCTCAGAGGTTTCCATCTCAGAGCTAACAGTAGTCCTTTCCCTTTGTGGGTGTGGGGAGTATTAATGCCTCCTGAAACACAACAATATTGTAAAAACACAATACACATTGCCAACCATAGGGCTTTATCACGTAAACAAGGATGACCATCCACGTGGCTGATCTTTTAGTCCACAGTCCCTCTGGAGGTCCTCCAGATGCCACATGGCCCAAAGCCTCGAACATAAATGATATTATTACACTCTCCTGTGCAGCCCAGGGCCTCTTGGTAAACAAAGATACTCTTATCCTGCAGGACATTCCAAGGGCCTAGACATCACCTCCCAGCAAAGGGCAAAGGCCACACCTCCCTTTGGATAACGTTAGTGCTTTACTACACACATAGTCCAAAGAAAAATGATACTTTTTACAGTTTTGAATTAGATATCTGTCATTGACCATAACTTGAATTCTCCAACTATTTGCATTTGATGGTTCTGTCACATAGTTTTGGCTATTTCGATTGACTGCGGACCCAAAAGTTATACAGAGTTTTCTTACTGAAGGCTATTTTTTGTACTTTATTCAGATGAACGACTTCAGCAGTCTCGTCCTTGACTTACACTCCCAGCTGCCTTCCAAACCTTGGCTGCAGGAAAGAAGCCTGAGGAGAGGTGGAGATCACGTTGGGGGAAGTTCCGGGTTCTTGAGCTTCATTCTGGTGGCATGTGTTTGCAGCGCTACACAGGAAAAAAGGCTCCCTTTGCTTTACTTGAACAGCAGCATTTGAGTGACTTTTCCTTTCATAACCATGACATCTGCTACCATGGATAGGGAACAGGAATTGTGGAAACGTGAAGGACTAAAGTTTTAGAATTTGGTCTAAAAGTTTAACCATGAAGGTTAAGCTGTATCTCATAAGTACGAAACAATACAAGTATCACAACCAAGTTATGGCTATTTTTTAGGAAAGACAGAGGAGCATAGGGGGAAGAATAAAGGTGAGAGAAATCGAGAGGGACTCAGAAAAAGAATGGAAGAAGCAAATGGCGACTACAAAAGGACAGACGGAGCCTGAAGACCACAGAGAAGCCACAGAGCACGCTAGTCAAAGAAAGCAGAAAGGGAAAAGAGGGAGTTGAGCGGATAGACCTTGTCATGTTTTGGATGCTTCAGCTGGGTATACCACCTGTTACACACTGAAATACTCCCCGCATTTATTGGATTTTGGGGTGAGTGGATGGATTACAGTGTTACCACATCTGGGAGATACTCTCTGATCAGCAAAAGTCCAATGGCACCCTTCTATCCCATTCTTAACTTATTCTGTTCATTCTTCATTACACTTAGCAAAAGTGACATGAATTTGTATATTGTTTCTTTCCTCGTCCCGTTCTCCAGACAGCAAGCTCCACTGGCAGGGTTAGTCTTTTTTGCTGCTGACTCCCCAGAGCCTAAGGCTGTTGCAGGCACACAATGGGCTCTCAGTGAGGATTTGCCGCAATCATAACTAATTAAAGTATATGTATATCTATAACAACAGGGATAGGGGCCAGAGCTGAGTTGTTGCAATGGCTCAATTTGTAGAATGAGTGACCCCATTTCTGAGTCTCACTTTCCCCATTTGTATAACAAAAATAAGAACAGTATACTACACCTTAGAATTATTTTAAGGATTGAGATAATTCATGCGAAGCTCTCAAATCAGTCATGGATATTTTCTAAGCACTTAATAATTGTTACCGAGTATTACATTTTCCTTAGTCATCGAATTAAAATGAAAATCAGAGTAGCCAATCCTCTTTCAGGTCAAAAACTAAAAGAAGAAAATATGAGCCTTTGAACTACTTGAATGCCGAGTAGTTGAATCCCCAAGAAGGATAGCTGGAGCTTTCAGAACAAAGATCATCTTGTTCAGGAATATCTCTTGGCTAAGCATGATTTGATTCCTTATCTGATCATGTTAAAGATGACTAAAGTGTAGGTAGTATTAGAAGAGAGTTATACGAGCATATGTAAAAACAAACATCTGTTTTGTACACCAAAAATTAATGCTGAAGGCAAAATGGCGCCTAACAAACTCTTTTTATTTCTTCAGTTAGGGGAAAAATATGAGTGCAGATGAGAAATGAATGCAAACAACAAATGAATCGGCTCATAGAAGTTATGAAGTATGAAAAGTAATCTGCCTGAGAATGATTAATGTGAATATTCTGCCCAAATCCAACCCATTCTTGTTTGCTATACACTGATTCATCAGGAGAGCCTTAGCTAAGTGAAAGAGCCTAAATAAAGTGTTTTAGCATTTTCACTGTATTTTTGCTCTGATTATAAAAATAGCATTTACTTCCTTACAGGCCCAGTGACTGGGAATTCATTATTTACCATGCAGTACCTTTGATGGAGACGTCTAAGTGAGGGCAAAACGTCTGTAGATGAGAGGTTATGATTAATCAGACCTGGAGAAATGGAATTCTGCATTCATTGTTGATTCAAATCCCTGTCCCAGATCTCGCCTTTCTAGACATATTTTTCACCTTATACTCTGGCATCGAAGTCTGAGTGGGTAAGGACTAAGCCCTGTTTTGGCTTTGGTAACGATCCTGAAGGTAAACAGCTCGGTTTAGCTCAGCTCGCATTTGAAGAGTCACCTCCAGCACCCGAACTAAGGGACACACAATACTTCAAAGCAGTCCCAAACTTCAGCGTGCACCCAAATCACCTGAAGCGGTTTTTAAAGCTCGGATTGCTGGGCCCCACCTCACAGATTCTGATGCCCTGGACCTCTAGCAGGATCGGATTATTTGCATTCCTACACTATCCAGGTGCTGCCGATGCTGCGGGTCCGGGGACTCACGCCAGAGAACTGCGCTTTCGACCGGAAGAGGGGATTGCCTCGAAATACTAGTACCGAACAGCAACACAACTACACTCCGGTTTCAACTGGAACTGCAAAGTCCTAAAAACTGGCAGCGGCCGTCCTCCACCCTCCGCGTCCACGCAGGCGTGGAAGGGACCCGGCGGCCCGGCAAGCCCCGCCCCCTCACCCCGGTCTCCTGGCCACGCCCTCCACGCCGCCCCCTCATTGGGCCGTTTCCACGCACGCGTCCCGCCCATTGCGCCTCCCGCCACGTTACGTTCTTCCGGCTCCCCCGCGGGGTCGCGCGTCTTCTCGCTCCTTCCCGCCGCCTTCGCCGGGGCGGGTTCCCGCGGCGCCCCCTGCTGGTGCGCAGACGCTGGTCGCCCGGCGTCGCGGAGCTGCGGCTGGCCCTTCGCCGCCAGGCTCTGGGCGGTCGGCGGGGAAGAACGCAGAGCCGAGCGCTGTGCCGCCGGAGCAGCAGGGCGGCGGTGTCCCTGTGTCCCTCCTGTCCGTCCTGTGCAGTGGCCGAGGGAGCCTCCCAGCGCCGCCGCGGGGCCGCCGGCTCGCACGCGCCCTGCTCACGGTCCTCAGGTCTAGGACGCTTCGTGTGTGCCGTGTGTGTGGATAATTACTTCGTACTCGGTAACTGTGTTTTCCGATTTCTGCTCACTCGCGTTAGGCACAGTGGGCGCAGGCCCCGGGCCCAGGGTGCTTTCTGAGGCTCATCCGAACTTCAGTTTCTTCTGAATCGGAAGATAAATACCAACTGTGAGGTTGGCCGAAACGCTCTAGTATATAATGTTAATAAATTAACCTTTATGTGATTCTAATAGTGTTATTAATTGTTATTATTTTAGTGGAGGAAGAGGCCCAAGAAGTCAGAAGTCCCTAGGGTCCACAAAAAACAGTGAAGCCTGGGAGCAGGTAGCACACAGTCCTTCCCAGTTATTTTCATTTACCTTAAAAACATGCTTGTTGTTGTTTTGCAAACACCCAGATACGTTTTAAGTTCCTTCCAGATGTTAGTCGTGTAATCCTCGTAACACACCTGTGAACTATTAGCCCAGTTACCCGCATCTGCATTGAGTCGTCTCCGTCTTGAAGTTGTCCTTATCCAGGGCCATACAGTTAGTAAGTGGCAGAGGGGATTCTGGTTCTGACCCAGGCCGGTTAGGTCCAGGGCCCTGCCCTAACCCACTCCGCTAAAGACATCTCTTGGTGACCGTTCGCAATTCGTTCAAATGACAGCAGGTAGAGTCTAGACCAAACCTCCAGCCAGGTTACTCTGAGCCCTCTTCTCAACTTAAAAACCCTTGAACAAACATTAAAATAGTTTTAGCCGATCAAGGCTATATCCCCACGATGACCCTAGCCCCTCGAAAAGTGCCTGTCCTAAATCAAAACCCACCATCTTTACTCTTTTTTTCTTCTTTTCTTTCTCTTTCTCTCTCCTTTTTCTTTCTTCCCTTTCTCAGAATCGTCTTCACTACTTTTGCTCATGAATGTGTATTTCACAATGTTACCAGAAATTCAGGGCACTTCTGTGGCATCACGTTAAAACTTTAGTTTATTCGGGAATTTATGAACATTTTAGCATATTGAGTCATCACAAAGCATAAACCGTGCAGTGTATGTCTGTCTCTTAACTGAAATCAATCTTGTTTTGTATCCTTCAGTGACATAGTTTATGCATATAGATTTGGAATTATTTTTCTTGGACGTAGAATCCTTAGACTCTGAAGTACTGTTGTGAATGATGTTTGGTTTTCCTACTTCAGTTCCAGCGAGGGTATTGCTAATGTATACAAAAGCCATGGATTTAATGTGGTGATCATATATCCACCAATCCTGTTGTGCTCTATTAGATCAAATTGTTTATAGAATCTTGTGGATTTCTTAAATGACATTATTTTCAAAAAAATAAAGATAACAGTTTTCCCTTACTGAATTTTTATCTATCCTTATTTATACTTCCTGTATCCTGGTGCTGTCCAGGCCTTGGTGCCATGTGGAATGGGAATAGTACCACAGAAGTTTTGTCTTTCTTTCTTTTTTTTTTTTTTTTTTTACTTTTCAGGAATCCTAAAATTGTGCCATTATATGTTATGCCCACTATAGCTACTTCTTATAAAATAAGCAGCTACTCCCTCTTGTTCTAGTTTGTTGAAAATGTTTATGATGAAAGAGTGTTATATTCTAGCAAATAATTTCTCAGTATCTATGGAGATGACCACAGTTTTACACTATTAATTTCCTACACTGGCAGATTTATTATGTTAAACTTTTCTTCCATTCTTGGGATAAACTCTGCACAGTATACTATTATTTGTTAAATAATATGGCTTCTTGGTTTCCATTTGCTTGCTTTTTAAATAGAGCTTTTCTTAAAATAAATGTTCTTAAGTAAGACAAAACTATAATTTTCTGTCTTTTTTTGTGTTGTTCCTGCTCAGTTCTGATAATAGGTTATAGATTTTCAAAAGAAAAAAGGGAAGAGATCTATTTCCTACTGAAACAGCTTTTGTAAAATTGGGATTATTGATTCCTTCAATTTCACTTAAACCTGTGGCCCAACTGTGCTTGGCCTCATTTGGGTTGAGGGGCATAGAAGAGATTTTTTTTTAAACTGCCCATCCTATTTCCTTATAATCATAATTTGCTTATTCACCTTGTTCATTACTTAATATTTTTTCTTGAAAAGTAACCTTTTCTATTATCTTTTTTTTTTTTCATTTGTAAAACTTATTCATAGCATTCTCGTGGTTCTTAATATCTCCCTTTTGATAGTGACATTCCCTTCTTTATTCCCATAACTATCCCTCTACCCCCGGACCCCCCTCACATGTACACACACTATTTTTTTCCCTAATTAGTTTTGGTAGAGGCTTGTCTGTTATTAAGTTTTTCAAACCAAAGGTTTTGATTTATGGATCATCCCAGTTTTTCTATTATTCTTTCTTTTTAAATTTTAAAACTGACATATTGAAAATATGTCAGTGTAACAATCCATGGGAATTTATAAATAGTTCTAATAAGAGCTCAAAAGTGTTGGTGGGTATATGAGCACCACATAACAATTCATGACCTTTCTATAAATGAGCAATGACCTATCTGGAATTGAAATAGAAAAGCCAGACATCATTCACAACAGTACAACAGATTCTAAGGATTCTAAGTCCAATTCTCAATCTACTCCCATTTTTATTCTAGCTTTTTTAGTTGAATATCTAGTTTACATATCTTCAGTGTTTCTTGTTCCTTAACATATGCATTTGATATTATATATTTCCCTTTTGGTACCGCTACAAATATATTATACAATTTTTATATGTATTATTCTCATTCATATTTATCTCAAAACATTACATAGCTTCCCTTATGATATCCATTCTAATCCATGTGTTTAGAAGTGTGCTTTTAGTTTCCAAGCATTTGAGAAGATTGTTTCATTTTTAGTTATTTTTTTAACAACATAGTGATTTGGCAAGTCTATACATTGTCTATACATCATGCTATGTTTACTATCTGTCAGCATGCAAGCTATTACATTACAATACCATTGGCTATATTCCCTATGCCGTACCTTTCAACCGAATTTATCGATTCCACAACTGGAAGCCTGTTCCTCCACCTCCCCTTTACCCATTTTGCCCATCCCCCGACTTTCCTCCCCTCTGGCAACCATCAGTTTGTTCTCTGTATTTATAGGTCTGTTTCTGCTTTTTTGTTTCATTGTTTGTTCATATGTTATGTTTAATTCGCATATGAGTGAAATCATATGATATTTGTCTTTCTCTGTCTGGCTTATTTCACTTAGCATAATACCCTCTAGGTCCATCCATCCATCATGTTGTCACAAATGGCAAGATCTCATTCTTTGTTATGGCTAATATTACATTCTATATATGGACACACTCCACACATATATATACACACTCCACATCTTTTTTATCCATTCATCTATTGATGGACACAGGTTGCTTCCATATCTTGGCTATTGTAAATAATGCTAAAATAAATATAAGGGTGTATATATCTTTCCTTTTTTTTTTTTTTTTAAGATTTTATTTATTTTTTGACAGAGAGAGACACAGCGAGAGAGGGAACACAAGCAGGGGGAGTGGGAGAGGGAGAAGCAGACTTGCCGCGGAGCAGGGAGCCTAATGCAGGGCTCGATCCCAGGACCCTGGGATCATGACCTGAGCCGAAGGCAGACGCTTAACGACTGAGCCACCCAGGCGCCCCTCTATATATCATTCCTAATCAGTGTTTTTGTTTTCTTGGGTAAATAGTAGTGTAATTACTATACCATATGGTATTTCTATTTTTAATTTTTGGAGGAAACTCCATGCTGTTTTTCACAGTGGCTATGCTAATTTACATTCCCACCAACAGAGCATGAGGGTTCATTTTTCTCCACATCTTCAACACTAGTTATTTCCCTTTTTTGTTTTAG